CAGATGAGGACTCTGTTAAGGACAAAACAGAGCAAGAACAGCCGCAAGACAGCACAGATGACTTGGAGAAAAATGAAGCGGCATACTCTGAAGGCGGCGAATTGGGCAAGTCAATGAGAACGAAGAGTGAAGATATTGGGAAGCTGAGGAGCATGTCAAGTCGTTCTTTCAGCTTCCAGGGGAAGAACTTGAAGATAAACATTCCTCTAACAAATCCATCGCGTACTTTCTCAGCGATCAGTTACCTAGTTTGGGAAGACCTGGTGAATCAGTCCTCGAGAAAATGCGGTGCAGACGGAGGTAGGCTGCACATTAACAAAACCAAGTTGCATCATGCGGACAAGATGATCCGAGGCGCTTTCGTTGAGCTCTATAAAGGGCTGGGATATCTGAAAACTTACAGGTATGATCATCGAAATTTTTTGAAGTTCAACAAATAAGGTTTTGAAGTTATTACGCAATCGAATTTGATGAGGCAGGGAAGCTTACGTGCTGTCCATTTTTCAGGAACTTGAACATGCTTGCTTTTATAAAGATTTTAAAGAAGTTTGACAAAGTAAGTAAATGCATGCCTTCTAACTTCGTCTTTTAAACTTGCATTTTGGTTTTTGCTTATGTAATAAAAGTTGAAATCTTCTTTTCTTTTGCAGGTCACTGGAAAACAAGTGCTTCCAATTTACCTAAAAGTTGTAGAGAGTTCCTACTTCAACAGCTCCGATAAGGTACCTGACAAACCCTACTTTTTTCGAATTTTCGACCACTAAGTAAATCTCGATCTCGATTTCGATTATGCTAGCAATGTTTTAGAACATTTTTGCATGATATTTTGATTGGATCATATTCAAATGTTGGCCACCAACTATCAATTCGTCCAAATAATTTCTCGACAATTTCAAGTGGCCATTGATCCAGTGGTTTATGACTGCACAGTGGATGCCATTAGATTCATAAAATTGAACCAAGATATGCTTGTCTGACGCGTAAACTGGAAAAAGTTTACTTTGCAAGTCAATAGTATTTTTGCTTATTACTTTCGAAAATGATAGGTGATGAACTTAGGAGATGAAGTTGAGGAGCTTTTCATCAAACACTTTGCCAAAGAAGACCGACGAAAGGCCATGAAATACCTTAAACCGACACAGCGCAAAGATCACATTCTATAACGTTCTTTATTGGTAAGTACAGAACTTTCGTGAAAACTAATCACAACGTTCTTTATTTTAATGATAAAAGTTAAAAGTACCCAAATGGTTTTCCTTTACACAACTTTTGCTGAGGAGCTTAAAAGTCTGTTCATTTTGTGGCCATACAAAATTTAAGAAACCAAAGTGTACACTACAGACCCATTAGGCCACTAGGGTTTTGGAAAACATGGCTGTGCCTTGTCCACATTTTTTTGGGTGGGAAATAAGGCATAGGTCCCATGCTATTGCCATTGTTATTTTTTAGACCATTTTTTGTTGTAGAAAGGTAGGACCCTAACAAGGGCCATCGACACCTAGGGGGCAGCAAGATTTTTTAACATAAAAAATGTCGCGTTACATAATGAACCCTCTGCCCATATATGACATGTGAAACTGATAAATATGTAACACATTGGACTACAATGACTAAGTACTCAGGTGACTTATCTTCTTATTGATTGTGATTACCAGGTTTATTCACAGGGTGCTTTATCGCGCTCTTAACCGGATACGTCGTTATGGCTCATATCACGGGATTGTACAAACGGCAGCCAAAATCGGTCTACATGGAAACTGCCTACCCTGTACTTAGGTAAGTATTGCTGCAAATAATGTGAACTAGTCTTTAAAATGTCTGATGTAAACAAGGAGAGGCTAAAGAAATAAACTTTTTCTGTTTTGGTTTTGCAGCATGTTCAGCCTACTGTTTCTACACTTCTTCTTGTACGGTTGCAACATTTTCGCGTGGAGAAAGGCGCGTATAAATTACAGTTTCATCTTCGAATTGTCCCAGACAAAGGAGCTAAAGTATCGAGATGTGTTCTTGATCTGCACCATGTCGTTCACTACTGTGGTGGGAGTCATGTGTGTTCATTTGTTACTGCTAACAAAAGGCTACTCATATGCCCAAGTTCAAGCAATCCCTGGCCTTCTTTTACTGGTAGTTCTTCAACTCATAACACGATAGATTAGAAATTGATATCCAGTAATTAGTCATTGGGTATTTCTTAACGTTCTTGTAAACACGCAGACGTTTCTACTGTTACTTGTGTGCCCCTTCAACATCATTTACCAATCAAGCCGCTTCCGCCTTCTTCGTGTGATAAGAAATATCATTCTGTCACCTCTGTACAAGGTACTGCATCTCTCGAACATGATCAAAACAAAACATTTTCGATAATAGCTAAAACCATATTCGACCAATTAAATCATGCTTCTAATTAGTTTCCGTCTGCTGTCTGCAGGTCGTCATGCTGGACTTCTTCATGGCAGATCAACTTTGTAGTCAGGTATCATTGAGCACTAAACCGAATAAATTCGAAAGAAAATTGATTCTAGTTCCTCAAAAAAAAAAAAAAAAAAAAAAAACTCGTCTGATTTGTCATAACAACAGATTAATTTGTATTCAATAGGTACCGATGCTTAGGAATCTCGAGTATGTGGCATGTTACTACATAACTGGAAGCTACAAAACTCAGGACTATGGTTACTGTATGAGGGCAGGACATTACCGAGATCTTGCTTATGCCGTGTCCTTCCTACCCTATTACTGGAGAGCAATGCAGGTATACTGATTAGTTCATTTCCTCTTGGTTTAACCTTTACTGTCATTTTTCCTTTGACGAACTAAAACATATACATCTGACTAAGATTTTCGATTAATTGGATTTTCAGTGCGCTCGGCGGTGGTTTGATGAGGGACAGACAAGCCACCTGGTGAATCTAGGCAAATATGTGTCAGCAATGTTAGCAGCAGGAGCTAAAGTAGCTTATGAGAAAGAAAGGAACATCGGATGGCTGTGCCTTGTTGTGATCATGTCGACTTTTGCAACAGTTTACCAATTGTATTGGGACTTTGTAAAGGATTGGGGTTTGCTACAAATGAATTCCAAGAATCCTTTGCTTAGGAACGAATTAATGATTCGCCGAAAGTTCATATACTACATCTCAATGGTAATTGCCATGTCCCCTCAAATAAATCACAAATTTGAAGAACGAGATGTTTCTTGTGTGGCAAGCAACCGAGAATGAACATATTCTTGAAATAAAATTCTGATAAATGTCATGATAAAAAGAAGATTCCCAGTCTAGTTCAGAGAGGACAACATGACAGCAAAGAATTAGATGTTGTTTGAGAAGACTGCACGCACATCATCGAAACAATTTTTGTGTTCTCTTTCTAGGTTGTAAAATCTGTCGGGTTTCAAATCCGGTGTTTGACGAATGTTTTGGATGCTACATCTGCAGGGATTGAACCTTATTCTCAGGCTAGCTTGGTTGCAAACTGTTCTCCATTCAAGTTTTGGACATGTGGACTACCGAGTAACCGGGCTGTTTTTAGCTGCTCTTGAAGTCATCAGAAGAGGGTTGTGGAACTTTTTCAGGTAAACTAAAATCCCCAAACTCCCATGATTCTGATTCTTATCGGTCCACATCTGCAGCCGTATGCTGAAATTGACATGAAACTCAAATATAAACATATTCTTCGATTTCAATAGCTCTAACGCACAATTTGTTCGAATGGTACAGGTTGGAGAATGAGCATCTAAATAATGCAGGCAAGTTTAGAGCAGTTAAGACTGTACCACTGCCTTTTCATGAAGTGGATGAACAAGACTGATGCCCCATTGGCAACAGTTGCAGATAGAATTCGATGTTTAGGCGTTTTCGGAACAAATGTTTCCAAGAGGAGGAACCTTGTTGTTGAGAGCTCGTTCCAAAGTTGATGTAACAAGACACATCAACTGTGTAATCTCTTTTTGTTCGATCGGTGGATTTGAGGGGGAACATTTGTTCATACTTGTACACAAAAAATTTCCTTCATCAATGAAAAGAACAGGAAATTGATGCAAAGTGCAAATACATGTTGTATATATGCTCAACCTTTCTGTCCTTGTTCCATGGAGCAACAAATGCTAAGTAATTAGGGCTTCAATAGTCAAAGTAAAATCCTACTGATGTTCTTGTGTCTGGACGCCCGTATAGGATACCTAACACATGGAGGTGGGATCGGGGGATGGGTGAGACAAAAATAGGTGTCTTTGTGTGGTTTACTAATTTGTGTGTTATGTTAGGCAATGCTAAACGGACTCATTTAAGAAATTTATGAGAATCCAAGTTGATTCATACTATAATTTTTTTATTTTTAAAATTGGACCAGCTAATGACTTCACCATTGCATTCCATCATTTCAGTGGGAGGTGAAAAGACTCACAAGGGGTATTTCAACTTTCTTTTACCACCATCGTGTGATTTACCATCGTTAGAAATTAAACTCAAAACGTACCGTATAGAATATGATTTTAAAATTTGTTCTAACTACTGGGCATATTATAATTTGGGTTTTTGGGTTTTGGAGGTTTAAAGGACCGCTGGCTGCCCAACTCAGCCTTTTCCATAGAACACCTGGCAAAACCAATTGATTTGCCCAAAAGATTCAGAGACGTAGTCAAACTAAAATTTTAAAAGATTTTAAAGGATTTTAAAAGTAATAGATTTAATAAGATTTAAAAAGATTAAAGATTCTTACAAATTTCATATGGATTTTTAAAGAATTTGAATGGATTATGGTGGAGGGATTTGAAATCCTAGGGGATAAGGTTGGATTCTTTTTGGTATTGGTTACATATACTTTTAGCTCTCAAATCCTACAAAATCTACAACTTATTAAAATCCTCCAAAATCTTAATTTTTTGAATATGCTTAGATTTGTATGGATTTTAAAATCCTTTAAAATCTTTTAATTAACTACACCTTAATTTTAAAGGATTCTAAAATCCTTTAATAGACTACACATAAATTTGAAAAAATTCTAATATTCTTTAAATCATTTAATTGACTGTACTAGAATTTTAAAATTTTTTAAAATCCTCTCAAATCCGGTTTAACTACAGCCCTAAAATACATCCTTGCAACTGCAATCGGAAACAAAACAGAGAAAATTTCAGAGTCCACAGAGCTACATCCATGGCGGCGACACCAACCGCCTGCGGTTTCTCCCCCGCCGTTCCATCCCTCTCGCCTCCCATAACTAACCCTAATAAACCCATTTGGTTTTTCAGACCTTTTTCTGCTTCCAAGAAAATTCCTACGGTCGGCCTCTCCTGGTCCTCCACCCGCGGACGAAACCCTCTGTGGTGAATTTACTCTTCTGGGCTTCTTTCAATTTCACCTTTTTCTTCGTCTACATATATTTTTATGCTAAAGTTTAAATCTTTAATTTCAGATCAAGAATTTCCCATACGGCAGGTGTAGCATCAAAGCGTGGCCATGTGGTGCTGGCTGTTTCTTGGTTGATGAGTGGCAATTCTGAGACGGACGCAGAATTGGAACCGAATAATCTGAATACGGTATAATATTGATTCTATTCTTCTTGAATTTTATAGAATTATTGTCTTTTTCGTATCGATATTGCTCGTAGTCATTTAATTTTAGGAAATTTTAACGAAAAGCTACTGAAACTGTTCACTTTAACGAAAAATCACATTTTTACATTAAAAAGTTAATCATATTACTATTTACTTCACCATTTATTTTGTCCTTATTATTCAAACTCAAAGTTTTCAAACCCTTTTCATTAGTTTTTCTTTAATTTTACCGAACATAAAAAGGTAGTGCCCTTAGTTTAAACTTCAGATTTTTTTTTCCAATTTTTTTAGGCCAATGCGACATGTTAATATTATTCCAATGAGTGTGTGTGTGTTTTGCTATTGCTTGAATTTGTTTACTTTCTTCTTAACTCGGTTCTGTTTCTTGGATGCCCTTATCGAATTTTCGAAGGATGCCACGATTGACATACAACTCCCAAGAAGAAGCTTGCTTGTGAAATTTACTTGTAACTTGTGTGGTGAAAGGACAAATAAACTTGTCAATCGATTGGCTTATGAGCGGGGGCTAATCTACGTACAGGTACTTGTTCCTCTTGTTGGTATTAGATTCTGTGTAGTTTGTTCTTGATGATGAAATAAACTTTAAACTGTTTTTCTGTCAATTTGTTGATATTTCAGTGCATGCCAATACAAGTCTAACCAAAAAGGAAAAATAATCATAGATTAATTAAGGATTACGTTAAGCGTTTCAACGTCGTTTCTAGTTCGCGTAGTCTAAAAAGTAACAAGTTTCGGGTTCATTGACTAATTAGAGTTGCTTCTCATCAGTGTGCAGGGTGTCAAAAGCATCACAAGTTAGCTGATAATCTTGGCCTTGTAGTTGAGTATGACTTAAGGGAGGATATCGATGTAGACACAAATACGGATGAAGTTTGATCCGACATTGATTTCATTAAGCTACTTTTTGAGTAGTAGTCTTTCGGATAAATTAATTCTTGGCGGTTGTTGGAATTCATCTCCCTTGATATATTGAACACGAAGTAAACAGAAAAGTGGTAAATGTTGATGTCTCATCTGTTGTATTATTGATGCTTAGATCTAGGGTTATACATATGAAAAAAAATTATCTTCTTGCAATAGTCTCTTAAAAAATCTTCTGCTGATGTACCAATAAATTCATAGTTCAACGTCTAAGATTGATTAGAACTTTAGCTTGTCATTGCCAGCAGTATAGTGATTGCTAATCCGGTCGTAACCCACAATCCTGATATCCCTCCTTTCTGGTGCAGTGCATATCCTCCATTCTGTGAGACAAACAAGCATAAAGGTCATCAGAAAAATATTAAAGCTGTCAACATTAATAAAATTTGAGTTCAGTCACGCATGTACGGTGTTCTATGGTACTAAATGTAAGAGCTGGTTAAATTCTTTACCAAATCCAAACTTGGTGATGGTGCGGGTGTATTGTTGTCCTCTGTATCTGTTACTGTAGGTGGTGCTGGGGGGCTTTGTACAGTAGGTGCAGGTGCAGGTGCTGGTGCATGATGATGATGATGCTTGTGCTTGTGCTTCCTCTTGTGTTTGGGTGGAGCAGGCGCAGGTGATGGGGCTTGCACTGGTTCTGAAGCTGGTGGCACAATAACCGGTGCTGGCGCTGGTACTGGGGTTGCTTTTGATGGTGAGGGCACTGGTGCTACCCTAGCTGGTGCTGGTGCTGGTGCTGATTTAACAGGAGCTGGGGCTTGAACTGGTGTTGGAGATGCACGCGGTGCCGCTACAGGAGGTGGCAATGCTGGTGACGAAACAGGTGGTGATGGCGGCAGTTTTGGTGGTTGTGATGGAGTTGACACAGGTGGACTTTGGGGTAGCGGGGGTGAGACTGTTGGGCTTTTGGATGGTGTTACCTTAGGGGAAGGTGATGCAGGTGTTGTAGTTGGTGGGGTTACTGCATTTACGGGCGGTTGTGTTACTGCAGTTGGTGCAGTAGAAGGTGGTGGGTTTTTAGTCGGCAAAGTAGGCGGTGCAGCAGGTGTGGTAGTGGGTGGCGGTGCTTTGGCCGGCAAAGTAGAGGGTGCAGCAGCCGGTGTCTGTGCACCGGTAAAGATTACTTGAAAACTGAGAGAATACAAAACGAAAGCCAGCAAAATGGAAGCCATTTTCAAAGACAGATTACAATGAAAAGAATTGGAGGATGTTCAGTTATATAGTAGTTTGTGAGCAGAGAAAGAATGCAGGAGCCGAAAGAAACGTTTGGTGAAACAATTGAAGAGGGAGGGGGACGTAGTTTTCAGGTGATTGGAACTTCTCTGCTAATCATTTGGCGAGCAAATGTTGTTAATGAACTTGCGAGCCTGGCAGCGACTTGGACTGAAAATAAAGTCTAAGAAACTGACAAACTATTAATTACAGTTATCTAATTGCTACACACAAGTCTCGTGGCACAACGCCCGCGACGATTAGAAGAAACGTCTGTTTTTTATCGTAACAGCAAAGCTCAACTCTGGTAGGAGGTATCCATCACTCCTTTTTGAAAGCAAGGTCCTCAATCCTCTATTCAACGCCCTTCGTAGCACAGGATGTTGCGGTAGCAGTACCCGTGTCATGCTAGTTGCTCTCTTTATTAAGCATAAATGACCGGTTGTCACTAAGCCAATTCAATTTTTGTTGTTGGAAGAGATTCGCACTCTTAAGGTGAAACGAAGGATGGCAAAACAAGGATGAATCATAATCAAACGTGAATATCAGGAATAAAAGCTACATCTTAGAAAAGACATTGCCACGAATATGTGGCTCCATGTAAATGCTACGTTTCTGTAAGTACTTTTTGCTCGTGCGTGCTTTTGTTGGAAACACATTACTAATTATATTGAAAGTTAGTACTTTTCGGAAACACAGTTTTTCAATAGGTGCTTCTCCAAAAAGTACTTAAAAGTGCTTTTATAATTCCTACACGCTTAAGCATTTTTTGTCAAACGATCTCATAAACTAGTCATCCCCTTTTGACAGCATGCATGATGATCACTAGTGAAATCATTAAGCTAGGCAAAACTTTCGGACTACAATAAGGGAAGGAGGGTGAGAGAACTACATTTTATCCACGGTACGGACAGTTTTCAACACAGATATGTACATTCATCAAACTATAGTCTTTGTACTAACCCTCACAAACAGAACATTATGTGGAAGATGTCATGCATCTTTGTAAGTAACTTTGATGGATGGTGAGAAATTGGAAGAGGACGCGAGACCGCTGCTGCCGGGTCTGCCTGCTTTTCCTTCTTCTTTCTCCTCAGCTGGAAGAATTGCTGCATTATATCTGCACAATCCGATGCCAACACACGACGTCGGATGGTCATGTTTGGGTGGAATGGGTGGACAGGAGGAGCTGGTTTGTCCGAGTGCTCCAAGCTATTTCCTTCACCCCCTTCAGGGAAAAGTCTGCAAGCATATTTACAGGATGACCGGATAAGGTACTACGGAACGAAGAACAAAGACTGGATATCATATCTAGTATAAAAAGGCTATGGGTTATGAAGAAGAACATAATTCACGGCTATGAAGAAGAACATAAGTCGCATACCTTATCCAGCTGCCATCAGCTCCGAGAAGCTTGTTTGGAGCTCCCCATACAACAGTGTCGATTCTTGCTTGGAGTATCGCTCCAGCACACATAGGGCACGGTTCAAGTGTTACATACAGAGTGGTTTCCTGTGACATCAGAAAACAAAAATTTAAGTCTAAGGTGGAACAAAATCATCAATATGCATGTATATATATTGGAATAAAACTTGGAATGGGTACTAATAACTAAATAATAGAGAAATTACCGAAAGCCTCCATGACCGGAGAACGTTAGAAGCCTCCCGTATGCATATCATTTCTGCATGGGCTGTTGAATCCCGTAATTCTTCCACTCTGATACACATATCAATGTAAATATCCAGAAGAAAGCATTTACTACAAAACATACATAAAAGCTAATAGAACTCACAGATTACATCCACGTGCAATAATCTTTCCTTGTTGTACCAGTACAGCCCCGACAGGTACCTCCCAAATATCAGCAGCCTTCTTAGCTTCGAGAAGTGCTTCTCTCATAAACATTTCATCCATTTTTCTTTGTTCAATTTCATGTGTATGTGCTTCTGCCCATTCGTCAAATCTGTCTCTGAGGACTTGCTTATTCCTCTGAAACCTCCTTTGTTTCAATTCCCCACCCATTTGCACATTGTCTGATACTCCTTCGGTCAACTTCTGACTGCCAAATTGGTCTATGCGCTCCATTGAACCACTTCCAGAGACAATGTTACCGGCATTTGAAATTTCTTCTACAACAGCAGACTTTACGCCACTAGCAATTAGTGGTTGAGATGACTCCACTTTTTCAATGCCAGAAGAAGAACCTCGAAAACTCTTTTGATTCTCGTTTGAACGTAAAATTCCCTCACTAGAAGACGCGGAAATGACTTTTGATGGCAACCCACTTTCTTCTTTATTAGGAGAAGACGGCGTGCCTGCTTCAAGATGTCCTACTTTGTCCCTTGATCTCAGTTTTCCACTTTGAGGAAATGATTTAGGCGGTTGCAGCTGATGTTCCACGTCTTTATCCCTTTTTGCATTCTTTTCATTGTTGTCCTCAGTCTCATGGCCAGAAAACCATGCCTCACTACTTGCAGATTCATTTGATGAAGTCCTTCCACCTGACTTCACAGCGGAATGAGGGGTTTCAGCATGTGAAGTCCACCTCAGCCTAACAATATCTGCAACAATGTTCCATACGGACCTGCCCGTTCTCTTGACAACAGTACTCCCACTTGTTGTAGTAGCCTCTGATTTTTCTGCCATGGGGGTTTTAAGAACAGATGTGTCTGTTACATCCCACATTTCATCAGCAGGCCCCTTGGTTCCAGAACCTCCAGATGAACGCCTTGAGTCATTTCCCTTTTTCTGAGAGTCTTCAGACCTATTTTGACTCGAATCCACTTGCCCATTCTTCTCACCTCCATGCGCCAACTTTGCTTCAGAAACTGTATTTGCATTCTGATTTTCGGAAGTTGAGACTTCATGTCTTGCTCTATCAAAGAACTCCCCAACAAACTGTGAAGATGACTTCTCCAAACGGTAAGCCGAATCCAAAGCATCTTCCGGATTAACAAGGTATAAAATCTCCCCTTCAGTCTGAGTGTTTCCATTTCCGCTACTTGATTCTAGGAGCGAAACCGAAGTACCTAGCCCATCCCCATACACCTCACCTCCATATACTAATTTTGCTTCAGAAACTGCATTCTCGTTCTGGTTTTCAGAAGTTGAGACTTCATGCCTTACTTTCTGAACAAAATCCCCGAAAAACTGTGAAGATGATTTCTCCAAACGATAAGTTGAACCCAAAGCATCTTCAGGAATGAGGTATAAAATCTCCCCTTGAGTCTCGGAGTTTCCACTTCCACTGGATGATTCTCGGTGCAAAGCAGAAGTTTGGTTCCCCAAGTGAGTATGCAAGGCAGGTGAACCACTATCCGGAATTTCTTCAGAAATTTCCTGAGTTGCCATCCCACTTGATGGCTCCGTGTGCAGCGATCCTCTAGTTATCAATTGAGAAGGGGGAGGCAGCAGCATTGCCTGTGGGCTTATCTTATGCCCCTCAACATTATGCGGTTGCATTGTAGCTTGGGAAACCACATCCAAAGGTGATTGGAAACTAGAGGCTTCTCCCGAGCCTCTTTGGGCCCCTTTTCTGAGTTTAACTTGCATGCGATTTTCATCAGTTTCATTATTTCTCCTCCTTGTTTCCTCCATTGATGAAGCAGTTGATATAATACCACTTTCTTGATTTATAGTTCCCTTCCTTGAGATTCTTTGAGAATTGGTAGTGCTATCTGAAGTAGGAACCAAGTTTGACTGTACCTGGTTCGTAATTCCAGTTTCAGGTTGGACAATATTGGCCCCTTCAATACCACTGTCACAAATTTCTGATACTTCAGTGATTTGTGGGGACTTTCTTCCCAAGTTGACGAGTCCAATGACCTGCTGACCTATTTTGTGGCGTTGCACGTCTGTCTCATTTGCTGAACTCAGCAATAAATTTGTGTTTTCTTCCTGGTAAATCCTTCTTATATCAGTCTCCCTCCTTCTATCAGAGATCCTTCAACATCAATAACTCGAATTTGCGAAATTTTTGAGGGCTTTTGGTGGTCTCTGTTTAACTCTTCATTTTGACTGGTATATTCAGCTGTGTTGTAACGTTCATCTTGCCTTTCCTGCACCAAGTTTGTAGCTATCGCTAGGTTTTCTTCCCTTTCTCTGAGTCTCTCCTGGGACAAGAAAGTTGTTTCAACAGTCACTTCCACGGATTTCTGATTCGTTGCGTTCTTGAAATTTTCTTCGAGATTCATTCACGCCAACACCAACAGCTTGGTTCTGTGTTTGACTATATTGTTCTCTTGTTCCCTTAGTCAAGTATGAATTCTCTTGCTCATAGTCAAATTGCTTGCGGGATCCAGAGGCCTCTCCGAACTCACTTTGATTGGTCTTCGACACTCTTGAATTCATCTCTGACGATTTCCCACCAGCCTTAGCTTCTTCAGCTACTACTTCTGTAAGCTTCTTTTCTGTCTTCTTCCTCCAATCCCACATGACACCACCCTCAACTGCAGTGTTTCTTGTTTTGTTATTTCTCCTCTGCCCTCAGAATCATCCATGTACTTCCTGTAATCTTCAATGACCTGCCCACCAAATCTACCTCCAATATCAAATTTGAATCCTCGTACACACTTGAAGCTGATTCCCCAAAGAAGCCGTGCTTATCCTGAGCATCTGCCTCACTTTCGAAATCGCCAGAAGATGATAAAGAGTAATAAGAAGAAGTAGAACCTCCTTTCATTCCCCTACAATTCTCACCTCTCAAAAACACTTCCCTCTCTTCTTTCTGTCTAAAATCCCCTTCACTCAAATCAACTGTGGCTGATCCAAATTGGCGCTTCAAATTACTCTCTGATGTATTCACCTTAACATTGCTTTTCTTCTTCCTACTGTTAAACTCACTACTATTGTCTGGTTCGATGTCCACTTGCACTCCCTTAGAAGAACTTCCATTTTTCTCTCTACCACGAACACTCACCCTCTCTACTTCTACTCTCTTAGATGAACCGGCATTTCTCTCTCTACCACTACAACTCCTACTCTCCTCTTCTACTCTCTTTGATGAACCAGCATGTCTCTCTCGATCAATCAATATCCTCCAACTCCTTTCTTCTGCTCTCTTAGATGAACTCTCATTTCTCTCACTACCAATCAAACTCCTACTCTCCTCTTCTCCTCTCTTTGATGAACCGACATTTCTCCCTCTACCACTCAAAATCCTCCTACCTTCCTTCTCCACTCTCTTAACCGAAATCTCATTTCTCTCTCTCAGAAAACACTCCCCACCCAATTCCTCACTCAACAAGCTGAGCATAGCCTCAGCGTCATCAAGATCACCCGAATCATAAACTCCACCCCCTCCCTCCCCATCAACCACACAACTACACCTCCCCTTCCTTCTCCTACCCCTTCTATCACACACATTCCTCTCCCTAATCGAGCAAGGGAGTTCACAACAACCCCAGTCCGGCCTACATTCCTGAACACGATAACTACACCCGTCCCCGACACCCAAAACCAACCTTCTAGAAGCTGACCGTTGAAGCAATGTGGACTGCCTCAACCCATACAAGTAACAAGGGTTTATGGCCACTCTACGGACTGAAAATCCACAACAATTACAACAACAACATGATTGTGATGATGAACAACGAATTGGGTTTATCGGGTTTCTGTCAAATCTTTCATTCAACAAGTAAGAGTAATCATTGAAGCAATATGACAGAGAGCCTTGCCTTCTGCTTCTCACAGAATATAAACTCGAGCTAAAATATGTGTTCTGCATATTTCTACCGGTAGAGAGAGAGAGAGAGAGAGAGAAAGTCGGAAGAAGAAGAAGTTTACCTTTGAACTGAGATGTGGATTTTGGAGAGCTAGTGAGAGTGGAGCTCTGAGTGAAGTAAAGGTGTGGTCTTTTGGGTAGATCAGAATCCAGACTGCTAAGCTGGAAAAGCAACGAGCAGGACAGAACCAACTAGGAGAGCGATTCAAAATTGAGTTGACTCGTTGGGTGCACTAACTCGGTCGATTTTTTGGGCTCAAACATTTGTTTGGGTCGAGTTGTTCTTGGACACTAATTTCTGGACCAGAAATTGGATAGAAGCTAATGTGGGTTTGACTGGGCTTAATGCTTTATGGACACTAATTTATCAACCAAGAAACCAATTTCTGGTTCATTGGGATACATTAATATTGAGTTTTTATGACCTTAATTCAATTGGCAGGAAGAGCCCTCGTCCAATGAAAATAATTTGTGTTAGGGGTGTCTGACCTCGTCATATGTAGGGCTTCTAGCACAAAATCTATAATTTAGTCTCATCCAGTTCCACAAGATCTTATTTAGTAAAAAAATTATCTTAGTCAAACAATCCTATCAAATATCTTCTCAAAATATCCAACTAACCTACCAACAACGACCCACGTAGAGATGCAAACTTTGTGTTACCATTATTTGAGTGGTATATATGATGATATTTGGAGTATCAATCTTTACACTTTCACAGCTCAACTTGCAAGCACAAAATTCATATAGATCCGACCAAATTATTTATGCTCATCACAAGTTTGCAAATCAATACTACAAGGAAGTTGAGGAGTGGGTGGAACGTGGGAGAGATAACTAGTTAACTATTAATAGTATGTGACGCCAGTTGATCATCATCCATTGCAATCAATCAATCATGAAAGAAAGAAAGGATAAAATTTAAATCCAAACCAATGAGCAATACAATATTAAAACGTATTAGGGAACCAACTTTCAACTTACCACTCTGTCTTCCCCCCATTTGTATAATCTACTGACCCATAAGATGTGTTTGCAAAAATAAACAATCTCAAACAAGCAACTGAGTAACCATCACGGTATGGTCTAATAATTAGGGATGAATGTTAGGCATGTATTTCAAAATATATGTTATGGGTTCGATTCTTGACGTTGGTGAATCATCGTACACGATGGTGGCCAGAGAAAGGCTACAATGCCTTTGTGAGTCTTAACGGCCCCTAAAATGATGGATTGTTATGGTCGAAATCACTAGCTAATCCCTTTTTTGAAGAAAGAAAAACAAGTAACTGAGTAAGTGCATAATTAACCAACTCCCATTATTTTTCATGCATTAATGTCAACTATCCCCCTTACATGATAATAAACATTTCAAATGGTTGCCGACAATGATAAACAGGATAGTGAGCCTCACTACCATCATTTGAAGATCGCGAGCAAAAATATTTTCAAAAATAATAATATTAAAATAAAAATTGGCCACTAGGGTTTGTACAGTTGTTCTAATTCCAGAGTACCATGTACGTAAAATGCCATATTTTTCCATGCATGGTTGGGGTGGGTGTGTGACGCTAAATTCTGTCCACAAAAGACCTCCTGCCTTGGATGTTTGGTAGGTCACCTTAATCTTAGTGGAAGTCCTTCCACCAAAATAATGGAAGAAAGATTGATAACGATACCTGTGCATTTGGCGTTCCAAGGATTTTTCTTTACGCTTGATCGATATGACTTATGATATTGACACTTTTATAGTTTCTTTGTGGGATTTATATAAAGATTTTTTAGTATACTTCCTAGTATTCTATATTTTTAAGTTTTTAATTGTTATATTTTTATTTTTTATCAAAGATATAAGGGCTAAAATCTAATGATTAAATTTTTTGGAATATAAAATACTCAAAAATACTGTAGAATTGTCGACATTGTACATGGGGTTGGAAGAGTGAAACATTTTGTTTTACCGACATGGTCCTCCAAATTTGGATTGGGTACTAGTTCGTTGTCATCCAAAATTCTTACTCGATCTAAATTAATCTCATTTGAAACCATTACGAGATGATCTAGTAGTTGGAGATAAATTTTATGCTCATATTTCACACGGCACGTCGTGGATTTGATTTCTGGTGCTGATGAATCACACAACGGTGACTAAAAGGAGGTTGAAATGTCTCTGTGAGTTTTCTCGACCCCTGAAAGAGTTGACTTATACGGCGAAACCACCAGTTGGTCCCCTTTTAAAAGAAATAATCTCATGTGGACAACAATTAACTTGTAAACCTAGTGAAAAACAACACTTCATTTATCTTTTATATAATTAAACAACAAATACAGGTGCCAATGAGTTCAAATTAACACTATTTTAAGAGATTGTGAATAAAACGTGTTATTCTGTAATTTGATTTACGAAAATAAATTGATTCATTGGTTTTGTTTAGGGCCCCCAGCCAGCCCCTAAACTCCTAAACTAATCGTAAATTCGCAATCAATCTTGTCGATGTCTCCAAAACCTTCTAAAAAAAAGTCTTCTCTTCTAGACATGCAAGCGTGACACGAAAGGTTGCCAACCACACAACATCAATCAGCTCGACAAAGCACATTACTACATTAGAAATTGAAATTCTTCTGTTTTCACATGGAAATCACTCCCGCTTTGTTCCACATTCCGCCCATAGCAACATGTCACGGTTATCATTTTCCCAAGTAAGACAATGGGAAAATTTGAGTATGTTTCAGAATATGTTGTATATCGAAATGTTTTATTGTTATTTTATTTTGTTTGTGACCACAGTTAAACAGATAATGTGTCATCAATATAAAATAAATACGTTAATTAACATTTAAGTAATAATTCAATCATCAAAATCTACATTATTTGATTTACAATATTTAGTTTAACATTACCATAATTTGAAATACATGCCGACAATATATTTACATAAATTGGTAGGAAAAACAAAGGAACATCATGACACGACCACAAGCTTACCGACCATCCCACCATCAAGAGCGGCCGCGTGGCCCTTCCTTCCTTGGCTAACTCACTGAAATACAATTAACAAGTAGGTTGAATTATCAAAACTCCTGCACGTTACATCTTGAAGCTAACGTTATTAAATTAGGATATACTTTGCATCCCCTTATGTGGGTACGCACGTATTCTTCTATTTGTAAATAACGTATTTTTATAGAACAAAATCAATGATCGGAACTTTTTAATTTATTAATCTTCATTTGAAGATCATTCTTTAAAAAAATTATTCAAATTAGAGATCGTTTAATCATCTAAATATATCAAATAAATAGACGTTCATCATGAATATGCATGTTAGGTACCTAGACTTTTGATTTATTCAGTACATTTGAACGATGAAATGACCTCCGATTAAAATGAGTTTTGCAGAGGTGATCTTTAAATAAAGATTAAATAATTAAACGGTTCTAATTATGAAATTTGTACTGTAAAAATACACTATTTCGCAAGGGGTGAGCAAGCTCATCCTCAAATAAATGAATGCAAGTATTATCCATTGAATAATTGTGAATATTCCACTATTACTAGGCATGAAGATCCCAAAACGCAGTTTATATAAAACCGATATATCCCAAGTATAGTCAATCTCTTTTGTATGTAAGAAAAACTGAGATGGTATACCTTTCCTTGTCGGTGACCCTCTCCAAGTCATGCTTGGCCATGAGAATAATCATCGAGTTGTAACCTGTATATGGTGCATGACCTTCATACCAACGGTCTGCATTGAAAAAATAAATCTTCAACCAGTGTACAAGTTCTTAGGCAATATTTATGAGATCCTAATTAATTATTTGGATTGAAATTCGCCTTTAGCCATAATTGTTCATAAAATATCTCACTAACAAGTGAAAAGAATAATACTAGATCGTAATACTAATGACAGATAAATGTGTTTTAGTTAAATAGAATCTAATAAGACTATATTACGAAAAAAATTACTCGTAGATGAAGTTTTCCACTCGTTAAACATGCATATGATTTTCCACTCGTTAAACATGCATATAATTTTGTTTTTCTTGCATGGAAAAATATGTATAGGAAAATTCATCACACGATCGAGGTCAAGTATATTGGGTTTTCTTTTCTATTTATCTATATCATTAACTCTAATTTAAAAATAGTACGCTTATTATTAAACTAGGCATCATTCATTGGCAATATTGTCGTTTTTTATGTTGACAAAGAAGCATAAATCTAAAAAAAAAAATGAAAAATTACATTAGAATATCACAAGACCGCAAGATTCTAACTATATTTACAACTAGCAAATAACGACAAAAAAAAAAAGAACTTACTAAAAAAACAAAACCCAAACTACGTGATAAGAATTTCAACTTGAGTTTGTTAAAAATGAAAATCTTATTTATCATGACAATCCACTTTTGGCTTACAATTCAAACCAATGCACTATAATTTGAGGATTGTGGGGTTACATTTACAAAGTGGGATTCAAATCAATGCACTATAATGTGAGGTTGTGGGGTTACATTTACGAAGTGGGTCGGATATTCCAAGGATATAATATTTCTTAATTTGCATGTTTTTCTTTCTTTTCTTTTGTATTTTTTGTCTGTATTTGTATAGGTGGCTGCCCAATGCTCACTGCAGCCCTCACTCTCGAACAAATCGTGCAAACACCTTGGAAGATTTTTTTCTTGACATGTCCTCCGCTTAACATATGTATACGTACAATTAATACGGAGCCAAATCCCCATGTAGACCAGTCAAAGCAGATAATTGGGATCTTAAAAAATGCTTTTCTCCCATCGGGTCTGTTAGAACTGAGTCAGCTGACCACTTCAAGATAATATTACATTTGCATGAATACTATTGGGGCAGCTTTTTTAGATATTTTAATTTCTACGGAGTAGAGAGGAGCAATTTTTTTAAAATAATTTTAACGAAAAGTTTTCGGTACTGTTTATTTTAACGGAAAATCATATTTTTACATTAAAAAATCAATCATAGTATTTATTTTATCCTTTATTTTGTCCTTATCGTTAAAACTCAAAGTTTTCAAACCTTTTTCATTAGTTTTCCTTTTTTAAGGGAACTTTAACGAAAAACCATATTTTTACACTTAAAAGTTAATCCTACTACTATTCACTTTACCCTTTATTTTGTCCTTATCGTTAA